GAAGTGCTGAAATCTTAAAATAAATCAGGAAACAAGCAATGTTTAACCCACCAACATTGTTTCTGACCACCGAATTTTGAGAAACCTCAGAGCGAGACACGGTAATAAGACACCCGGGCGAACGAGGAGAAGCTCGGCCTCCGGCATCTGGAGAAGCTCAGCGGTCAAATTAACCTGTTTTTGAAATAAATGATTAATGGTGCGGATAAACAAGGAGGGGAAATGTTAGTCAGCTTGTAATAGGTGATGCAGGGGATAATGATTATTTGAGAATTGAAGGAGAAACATACTTAGACTCAGCGGCTGTAAAGAAAAAAAAAAAAAAAGGTGCTGGGAGCTCCAAGAATCACTGAGTAAGGAGCAGAGTTGGCAGAGACGGCAGCTGTTGGCTTCCAGTGCGTGTGGACATGTGACTCTGTTGGAGAACCTCTCTGTGCGGTTGAAGTATTAACTATCACTGTTTCTGCTCAAATAAAATACAAACAACAGTAAAGTGATGTGTCTTTCTGATGGGATTAATAAAGTTAATGTTTTTCTATAGAAATTGAGTTTTTTCACATATTTGTGCTGCATCATTAGTTATGCTATACTTACAAAAACAGCTTTTCTTGTTGAGTTATTTCTGTGACCAATCTAATGAGCACTGGATTATGGAGATATTATTCAAAATGCTTCACTCGATGCTTTAGTTTATAAGAGGTACAATAACTTTTGGACTCACTCTGTGATATGGCGTATGTGTTGGCCCTCTCTCCCATTTGTTTTAACCAGAGATTTCAGAAATATTGATGCAACCCACGACCCACAACTACAGAGACCTGTAAAAACATCAGTACTGTCATTTGATTTAATTTCCAGGCCTATTTAATTCAGTTTTTATGGTAATCATATTTCTTTTCCTTTTTCTTTTTGTCTGTGTTTTATGTGTGACACAAAGTTTCTCCACTTGATGGTCTGAATAACCCAAACCAAGTTTAAAATATGCTGGTATCAGCCAATAAAAGTCCTGGCATGTTTAACTAAATACAATTATCAAAATGTAAACACAACAATGTACATTCAAAGGACATGACTCTTTGTATTAGTTATGGTCCTGCTCTTAGTACTATGTATTTATGGAACGGTGGTGTGGTCGATTTGTTTGAGTGGTGGAAAGCACTTAGACACACATGTATACGTGTTCACTTGAGTTGTGGCTTGTTTCAAAGGTCATGAAACTGCCGTTCCTAAATTTACATACATTAGTCAAGTATGACTGACCACACGCACAAATGTAAGACTGACTTCATGAATAGTTTCATCACGCTGAGGATGTTACACGGCAGTCAGCCAAACGTCTCGCTAAGTGGTCGACAGCAGTAAGAAGTTTATGTTGAGGTCAAACTCAGGGTTTCTCACTGGCATTAAATAGTTTGTGGGGTGTTGCTATTAATCGTTCACAAGTGCAAGAGTGTGGGGAACGCATTGCTTATCTAGCTAGATCACAACAAAGTGTCAGCATATCTCTAACTAACTACATGTATTTGTTGGTTTACATGCTACCATTGTTCCTTTATGTGGCAGAGTTTTCACCAAACTAAAATCAGCCCAGCATCAGGGGGCAGTAATGAGTCCATTAGAGCCTAAGTGTTAAAAGCAGCGTTCCATTAAACCTTGGAATTTAAATTTTCCGAACTCTGAGTCAGAAGTTGCAACTATTAGCATTTCTTAATGTGTCTCAGACATAGTATAGTCCAATTACTGTCTGTGGACCTTTGACTACAGTGTTAGTATGCATGAAATGCAGCGTTATGTGTTGTTATGAACTTCTTCTGCTAACATGGAAACCTGGCTAATATAAACATTGTTCCTGTGCAACTGGAACGATATCGATTCGGGTTATTCCGAGTTATTCCAAAAAGTTTTTTTGTGGTTAAATAAAAGAAAAGACGAGTTGTTCTGCCAAAGGTACATGTAAAAAACAATGCACAGCTACTTATTTATAGTTTTCTAGAGTTTCGCAGTCTTGAACAGGGTGAAGTGTGTGCTGATATCAGCAACTCTATTATTTATTTATTTATTCTAACTCCTGATGGTAGTGTCCACTGTATCAGCTCACAATAGCTGATCAGGTGCAGTGTAAGTGTTTTCAGCTTCAGCGACTGCAGATGGTTGTAGGTGGTCATTGCGTTTTCTTGCAGCACCAAACCTGATGCATGTGTTTTATCTTCTTTGTGTGTGTGTGTGTGTGTGTGTGTGTGTG